ATTCCTGAGGACCATCCCTGTTTTACCCTGAGCAGCAGCCCCATTTTGCCCTCAGCCCCAGCCCCATTTTGCCCTCAGCCCCAGCCCCACTTTACCCTCAGCCCCATCCCCACTTTACCCTCAGCCCCATCCCCACTTTACCCTCAGCCCCAGCCCCACTTTACCCTCAGCCCCAGCCCCATTTTACCCTCAGCTCCATTTTACCCTCAGCCCCAGCCCCATTTTACCCTCAGCCCCACTTTACCCTCAGCCCCAGCCCCATTTTACCCTCAGCCCCACTTTACCCTCAGCAGCAGCCCGTGCGCGCCGCGGGCCCTGTGCCGGGGGGCCGTGTGCCGCCTCAGGGCTCTCCGCGACCCCCAGACCGTGCGCAGGATCAGCGCGTAGGAGGCCAGGAGGAGCAGGCAGGGCAGCAGGTAGCAGAAGACGAGCAGGGTGAGGATGTAGAGCGTGGGCTCGGTGCCGGCGGCCCCCAGGCGATGCAGCAGGCCGTGCCGTGGGGCGCGGGGCCGTAGCCGTGCCGTGGGGCCGGGGGCGCGCAGGCGAAGGCCAGCCCGTGGGCCCAGGCGGCCGGCAGCAGCCCGGCAGTGTGGCTCCACGAGAACCTGCTCCCTGCGGCGGGGGGACCGCTCAGGGCTCCCGGGGCACGGCAGGGCCGGCAGCCGCCCCTGGGCACCCCGAGCCCGGGCGAGCCGGGCAGAGCCGGGCTCCGGACAGCGCCGGGCACCACGGGCACCTCCCGTGCTCCACAGACCAACACTAACCCCAGCCCTCTTCCCACCAGTCAGCTCCTCCGTCCTGACTTGTGTCATCTGCAAAGCTGTGCAAGGCTGAACTTGATTTCTTCATGTTCTCAGCCAGGCACCCCAGCAGCTGAAGCTGCTGCCTGCAGGGCCCCGGGTGCTGCTGCCCGGTGAGCTCTGGCTGATCCCCCAGGCTGCGGAGATGCTCCTTGGCTTTACCCACTAAAGCACCTCCGGGCTCTTCCCACAGCCTAATTCCAAAGCTGCCACAACCAGGAGTCCTTACTGCCCTTCAGGAGCTCAGCCTTTGGGAACAGAGCAGAGCTCTGGCCTGTGCTGATGGAACACCTGCTGGCTTTCCCCCATGCCTGTGCCCCAAGGAGGGTGTGAGTGAGGGTCGGATAACGCATCCAGCACCTACCATATGCTGGGAAGCAGACCTTCAGGCAGCAGAGCGTGCTGAGCACCGTCAGGCTGCCCAGGCTGCACAGCCCGAACAGGACCCCGCAGAAGGCGTAGAGGGAGCACACGGCCTGGCCGAAGAGCCACCTGCAAGGAGAGCCTGCAGGTGAGCCCGTCCTCCCCCTGCCAGCCTGGGCTGCACGGATTCCCAGCGGCTGCTCCCATTCCTGAGCACAGCTGGGCACATGTGGGGAGCTCCATGGGCTGTGTGCGTGCCAGCACCTGACCGGTAAATACGGGCATGAGCTCACCCTGACTTGTTCCCTGAGCACCCCGAAGATGGACATGGCTGGAGCTGGGGATGCAGGAGCTGCCCTGACCCACAGCAGCTCCCACCACTGCGCTGCCAGCTCGGACACCCAGCACAGACCCCTCTGGCAGCGGGTCCATGTGAGGAACTGGAGGGACGGGGAGCAGCAAAATGCGCTGTGGGATGGGGAATGGATGTCTGGGAGCTTACACGTGCCCCCGTGTCACCCTGAGCCCCCTGCACCTGCCAGGGTTCTCCTGCTCCCAGACAGCCACATGTGGGGCAGAAAGGTCTGATGTGCTTGCTCACTTGGCCAGCCACATCCAGAGTCAGAGCCAAAGGTGCCCAGCAGGATTGTAAGGATTCACTTCCTTACTTCTTCATAAAGGTTCACTTCTGCCTTGTTTGGTGCCCTTTGTGCTCAGCTGCAGCCCAAACCCCTCTGAACCATGGGACAGACTTCAGGTGAGGCCCCAGGAGGACTCACTCCTCTGTCAGCACTTGCTTTGGGCAGGAAAGGCCATGTGAGACCAAACAAGGCATCCTGAACCCTCACTCACCTGCTCAGCTGGTGCCGCCCAAGAGAACGTCTGCACCGACCAAACACAGAGGGGGACTGAAGGGGGCTTTGGACTCTGCTCGTGTGGCTGGGGTTTGCCCCTTACAGAGAGGCCCAAGGGGCTAAACACAGCAGAGACTCTGCAAGTCACTTCCCAGCTCCACTGCCAGCGTGAGCAGGGCATCTTAGCAAAGGTTATGGTCCCCACTTGGCAGAAAACCTGGGAAGATCAGTTTGAGAGGTCTCCAAGCCAGGCACCTGCAGCTAAAGCTGTGCCACCCTTGGCTTCCACTCAGACCACAAGAGCATTTAATTCTGGAGAGCCAACAGACAGCAGAGGCTGACAGCACCAATTTCAATTGCATTCATAAAGCAGACAGTGTCCTAAGCTTTGGAACAGACAGGGCTTGACACAATCAATGAGGGCAAAAATATTTCCCTAAAAGCATGCTCCTAGCATTTGACCTCAATCACAGCAGATTGAAAGGTGGGCTTGGTCAGGCTTATTAAGACAAAAATGATCACCATAAATAGCACAAAGGAAGATTCTGAAAACAATTGCCTGGATGCAGACTGAGGTTCTCTGTAAAGCCTCCTCCCCTCACAGAACCCTCTGGTTATTTGGCTGGTTATTTGGGTGTACCAGAGCAGTGACAGTACATCACAGTAATGAAATTAATCTGGAAAGAATTACTTCCAGTTTTATTTGCTCGCTTTTCATGAATCATGTCACCTCCGCAGGCCTCTGCTCCCCACCTGCAAAGAGCATTAATAGTATTTATTTCACACCGTGTGGTAGGAGGTTCTGCTCATTACCTGGCTGTGCACGGCTCTGAAATCTGCATGCAATGGGTTTTTCAGCGCTGCAGTCACATTTCCTCCTTCAGCATCTCCCAGGCACATTTTGTACCTGCTAATCCAACCCATCAGTCTGCTGTGCCTCACTCCCAGGTGACTCACAGGTGTCTGTGGCCATCCTTCCTGTGCCTGACCTTAAAGGGAGGGGAGAGACCCCCCCCCATTTGTCTGATAAGATTTAGGCCCACTGGATGCTTTTATCAGCCCTTTTTCTCCCACTGCTTTGTGTTCTCATCTGATTTTATCATCACTAGATTCTCACCCAGCCCAGCTGAGGTCACATACCCATAATTTCCTGAGCACTCCTGTGCTGAAGAGGCAGCTCAGCATCTTTGCAAGTGGGTCAGGGAGGGATCTGAAGGGTGACATTTAGCCAGAAACAATGCTGGGTGATGGCATTCACGTAGGACAGATCCAAGCTACACATGCTGCTGCCCAACTTCCTACCATCTGCACACCAAACTTTCAGCTCTGTGTTAAATAGACACTTATTCCCATGCTTGTATACTTAGCAGGAGGCATGAGGTAACACATATGTTGCTCCTGAGATGCACTTCCCCCCTCACAATTTGTGCTTGTGACTGTAATGGAAATATATATTAAATACATGTATTTCTGTTCGTGTATTTGGCTTTCCAGTGCCACCCACAATTCCCCGTGCCTGCAAATTCTGGCTTCTCACATCCCACTTGTCCTCTCTGCTTTGAATGCTGCCTGTATCTTAAAGTCCAGCCGGCCAGAGCTTAACCCTTCACTTTCAGGATCCTCTCTGGGCTAAGTCAGCCCTGCCCAGCTCCACAGCCTGACAGGGCACTGCAAAGTGTCCCTGGGAGCCCCAGGGCTGGATCCCAGCCCAGCACAGCTCAGCAGCGTGCTCCTGCCTTGGTTTTTGGAATGAAGCTGTGACCACAAGGCAGTGCCTGAGGATGGGTAAGGCAGCTCGGGGTCCCAGGCAGGTTTGGAACTGAGCATCTTCCCTAAACACAACCCCACCTAGAATCCCCTTTGCTTGCTGGCAGCAGGGGAGCTCTTGACCCAACAGCACTGGAAATCAGGCTCCTGGCGGGGCAGAGCTGCTGGCAGTGCTCCAGGGACAGCTCCTGCTCCCTGAATGTCCCACAGCTGAGCTGGTGCTTTCCGCAGGCACCACCTTCCAGGGAGTGCAAACGGAGAAACTGGGACGTGACTGTCAGTTTGGCAGGGAAGGTGTCTGCTGACAATGAAATTAAAATACCTGATCAGGTTGTTTTACCCTGTCACTCTCAACAACGCAGGGCTTGTTTTTAGGACTGCTTCTCACATGTCCATCTGATTTCTGAGCAGGAGCCCACAGTGCCAAGCAGTGACACAAAAATCACAGCCCCTGGACTTTATTTAGTCATATGGAAAATATTCCATGAGGAAATAACATCCTTCACTGGAGAGCCTGAGTGAAAAGCTGCAGGCAGAAAAAGCAGAAACAAATCAGTGTCAAATCCACATTCACTCCAAAGATATGTGAGCATTCTACTTGTGCTCAGTAAAAGTCATTCTGCCAACAGGCTTTGAGCCTCTTGAAAAGCAGGAAGTACAATGAGGGGGAAAAGGAATTTTACATCCTGCTCTGAACGTACCAGAAGATGCCTGCAACCTGCCCTGAGATACAGACCCAGGAGCAGCCAGGAGGCAGATACAGGGATTATACCTGGGTTTGTACCACAGCAGGAACGTTTCTGTTTGCTCCTGCTGAGCAGACAGAGTTCTTGGTGGCAAAATCCCCTAAGTTTTGCAACCTTCTGCAGCCATGCATTACTTCCTAGGGCCTCCCATCCTTCTTTCCCTCAGATCTTGTTTATAGACCTCACAGTGTTTCAGCACATCTCAAAAATTCTTCCTCAGCTTCTTATTGTACTGCAAACCCCCTGCAGAGCCAGCCAGACAGACAATAGGTCCCAGAGGTATCTGGGCCACTGCAACATTTAACAGGTTGTATTTTAAGCTGTGAGCACGGGATAGGGGAGAAAGAATTTAACTTCAGCCACAGGCAGAAAATCTACACCAAAGACAAAGTTGTGCAAAAAGTTTTTAGTGTGAGTTACCAACATCTGAATACTAATACTGTACCTTCTTTCATTTAGACAGAAAGCTCTTGGACAGGAGCACCATTTTATTAAGCAGCACATAATGCTCACTGTAGTACAGACAGCAGCACAGTTATCATGCTCTATTTCACAGCATTAAAAATGAGCTGTTCTCCAAGCAGGAGAAATCTTCATATCAAAGATTCAAACACCACAGGCTTCGATGTTGTCAAAAGAGATTATTTTAATTTTTGATATGTTTCTAAGTAGTCCAAGATTTGACGAGACATAATGGAAAGTGAGTCAGATTTTGATTCCTGAAGGAGGCAGAAGTCCTAGAGGAGACCAAGTGAAGGGAGGTTTGGAGGACTCCACGTGGCAGACTCTTCCCAGAGCCCAGCCATGATCCTGAAGGAGAGAACACATTTCAGATGACTCAGTGCTTCTCTGACTGAATACTGAAATACAAGAGAAAGAAAGGGGGGGAAAAGGGATTTCTGAGACTGACCTTTCAAGTTCGGTCTCTGAAGATGCAAAGGTAGGACAAGGACCACACACAGACCAAACACGCTCTTCGACCCTCCATTAGCCACCCATTCTAAGTCTCATTTCTGTTACTAATTTACTTGAAGAGGTTTTGTGTGCTCAGGCTGCAATTCTCCACTGGAGACCGAGGAGTGGGTGCCAGAGTCTAACAGCATCCTCTGCTCAGCTGACACCTCCCAGCTCTGTCCTGGAGCAGCACCTGCAGCCTGTCCCTTGGCTGCTGTGGGGCACCACAGCCTCCAGCACCGCTGGTCGGGGATTGGGGAGCCCGGGCAGAAAGGAGGAAACACCCCCTTAAACGAGGTACAAAGTTTCCTGGATCCTCACCAACACAAGACACAAAATGTCAGCTCATCTACATGGAAGCAGCGTCTGTAACAAATCTGTGCAGCAGGAAACACCGTTCCTGCCAGAGGATACTCCTCTGCCACTGTTTCCTCTCACTCCCTGGACTGAGTTTCCCACCCTTCCTCCCTTGAGCTGCAGCCTTGCTCCTGCTCCAGGTTTGCTGCAGCAGCGGTTCATAAATCTCCTCTGGTGCCCCCGGCCAGTGCCACCGTGCTCCGCAGAAAGCAGCCATGCAGTGACCAGCAGTGACCAGTAATGACCAGCAGTGACCAGCAGTGACCAGTAATGACCAGCAGTGACCAGCAGTGACCAGCAGTGACCAACAGTGACCAGCAGTGACCAGCAGTGACCAGCAGTGACCAGCAGTGAGCAGCAGTGACCAGCAGTGTCCAGCAGTGACCAGCAGTGACCAGCAGTGACCAGCAGTGATCAGCAATGACCAGCAATGACCAGCAATGACCAGCAGTGACCAGCAGTGACCAGCAGTGACCAGCAGTGATCAGCAATGACCAGCAATGACCAGCAATGACCAGCAGTGACCAGCAGTGACCAGCAGTGACCAGCACTGACCAGCAGTGACCAGCAGTGACCAGCAGTGACCAGCAGTGCCACCCACAGCTACCACACAGGACTTCCCAGCAGAGCAGAAACCAGACAGCTCCTGCTCGCTCCTGCCATTGGAATTATCCCTCAGAGCAGCTTCTGGCATTGGGGTCTGAAGAGTGAGAGAATTTGGTCTCCAAGAGGGGTTTTACTTCTCCAGGAGTGAGAGGCAGAGCGTGGGGAGCTAAGCCACTCTCCCCCACTCTCCCCAAAAAAGGAGAAGCAGAACATATGCACACAGCCCACTGATTTCTGCTGAGGTGGCCCAAAGCCAGTGCATAAAGCAGCCTGGGAACTGCTCTGAGAGCACATCTCAGTTAATGCCACGGGAAACAATGCCACAGACGTTTGCAGTTTGAGGGCCAGGAGCAAAGCATAAAGCAAAAGGAGCTGGAAATGGCCGTGTCCCCTCAGAGCACATCCCAAGAGCAATAACACAGGAGAAGAGGAGGAGGAGGAGGAGGAGGAGGAGGAGGAGGCTTCCTCTCCATCCCAGAGTGCCCGTGGGAAGGTCCAGCAGGGATGCACCAGTCAGCATCAGTGCGCTGAGATGTGAAGAGGCTGCTCCTTCTCAGACTCGCTGGACAGCAGCATGTCTTCTCATTAACATTTCATTTATGTGTCTGGCGTTTGCACATGTGCAATGGTGGAGCCACACAGAGACTGCTCCCACAGCAAAGGCAGCTCACCACAACCGGCCATGCTTTAGAAAGGTGCCTGTGAAAATTCCCGGTAAGGCACTTAAATTCAAGCACCTTGATACAAAGCAACAGACCAGATTTTACTTACTTTGGGAGAAAGCAGCATTTTTCTGTAAGGAGCTGATGAGCAGTTGTGGGTTGATTTTTCTTTTTCTTTTTTTAAAGCAGGTTGATGATGAAAAATCTCAGAACAGTATGACTATCATGAGAATGATTTCTAAAGCAGGAAGCATGACAGCCCCACACCCACAACAGCAGAAGCAGCTGCCACACACAAGTTGCCAGGGCTGCTCCTGAGCCACTTACAGCCATTGGAACTCTGACAGTCTTCAGGGCAGAGATCTGCACAGCACAGAGTTAACTCAAAGCTGTGTTAAGACAGATAAGACAGGAAAAACAAATGGGAGCTATTACCCAAGTCAGAAGGTATTCCACATCCTCATCTCCAAGCAGGAACTGTGGATGATAAAGCGCAGCCGGAGCAGAAGCTCCAGGATCACCATCACTTACATTCAGGATTTGCAGCATTCAGAAGAGATCTCATCAATAAGAAATATCAATAATTAAAGCAATCTCTTACCTCATGTAAAGTTCCCTACAAAATTACTTCTGTTCCCCCCAGACTCTGAATGCTGGAAGAGAAATTTCTTCTTGATGCCAAGGAAAAAAAAAAAATCAGAGCAGGGCCGGGCCGTGCCAGCACAGAGCCCAGCAGTAAAAAAGAAAAGTACTTATAATCTTGGACAAACACAGCCACATTCCACGGTTTTCATACGGAATCACAGAACACCTTTTAGAAATAACAAACAGGGACACTTGCAGCCCAGTCCAGCTGCTGCTGAGATACCATGGGAATGATCATGCTAAAAGGCCCAATTCAGTCTGATTTCAGAGCCAAACCAGGTACATCAAGAGTCACCTCCTGCTTTTCTCCCAGTCCCTCTGGCAGTGTATCAATTATCACCATGCTCAGATTAGCTCCTGTTTCTAAACAAATACTGGAAAGGTGAATCTCTTCCCCTAAAAACATTCTACAGCATAGTTAGCAATGTGCACTAAATGCTCGTAACCTAGAGTCATCTTCCAGAAAATAACTTTAAGGAGCTGTCAGTTCAAATCATCAAGTCTAAATTACTTAACCATGTACGGAACCTTTAAGCTTCTGTCAAAAGCCAAAGATGCAGCAAACAAGCTTAGAGGTCTGTAATCAGAGATGCCAGGCAGCAAGACAGCTTACAGGCTTGCTTTGTGTGCACCAGAAACATGTCAGCTCAAGAAGCATCACGGTGTGAGGCAAGATTTCCTGCAAGAATATTTTAGTTACCTGGAGCCTGATTTTTATAATCCTCCCTGGTAATTCCAGCAAGCACAACAGACCACGAAACACTCGTAGGACAGGCACTTGACATGCTTTTTAACACAAGGAACAAACAAAAAGAATGATCTAGTTTGGAACTTGAGGAGTGATCCTGCTCCAGAGCTAGCAGGATGCAAAAGGAGCCAGAAGGCCTAATCCAAGTGCCAAAATGTACCTCAGCAGTATCACACATCTTCTGGGAGATGCAGCTTCGCTCGGGAAGCTCGCTGGGCAAGCGCCACGGAGAGGCAGGGCTGGGTCCATGGAGGGAGCTCCACATGGCCCCAGGAGCTGCTGCCACCCCAGCTGAGGCTGCTGCCAGAGCGGCTCTGTGCCCCACCAACACCGAGTCACGCTGGAGCAGATCTGTCTCAGCAGCCCCAGCCCCAGCACGGACCCGCCAGCAGCGGCTCACGGCATGCAAACGCAGAGGGAACAGACAGCCACATGCACACGCCACTTTAAGAAAAGAGTGAAGCCTTTTCTTAAAGGCCTCTTTATTTTTAAATTCCTTCAAAACATAAATTAATTTAAACAAATCAGATGCAAAACACCTGCATTTTAAATCCGCATATATTTTACTGTATCAATCACAGCAACCTCATACAGTAAGATACACAAAAATAGAGCATGGTATCACTTCAATTCAACACAGGTTTGTACTACAGGATTCCATGACATATATACAGAGGACTTCTCTTTTTCAGAGCAGGTATAGCCCCTGCCCTGGTCACCATAAAAATTACGTGGCATCACAGTTTTAAGTTATTCACTGTAGTGTGAGGAGCCATATGGAAATTGAACTGGTGAACTAGAAGATACACTGTAGAGCAGCCAAACAGGCATGAAACTGCAGAAGGTGAACAAAACCCAAATAACCACCAAAATTAAATTCACCCTTAGACTGCATTTTAATAGTAAAATTGTTTTTAAATTCTTCACTATATACATAATGTATCTACATTTGTGTCATATTTATATATATATATATTTATAAAAAACATACAAGATTGAAAACCTTAAAATCATTCACTTTATCAATATTCACCCCAACCTTCAGGGTCAGCAAGGCAGTACTTGCCCTCGACATTATGCTCAGTTGCAGTCCCTTGATTCAGAATTTCCCTGATTGTTCAACACACTCTGTTCACTTTGTTTCTTAGTGCAAACTGGACAGTAACTTATTTTTCTCAGCCCTCTTTAAGACCCAGGTTTCATCTTATTTCCATAATGCTTCTGACACGCAGTTATGGCTAAAATTTTTTTAGCTATTTTACAACACTAGCCTATGTAATTTCCCCTCTACCTACCTGAAGCCCCCCCACCCCAAAAAATGTAAGACAAACAATCATTCATGCATGTTCCTGTCACACAGGGAGTGATGGACATTGAAGTTGAGAAGTCTAGACTCTAACAGTGATTAAAAACCCCAAAGTGAATCATTTCAGTGCAAAGTGGACTACAGTTTACATCTCAGCTAGAGTTCTTTACAGATATTTTAAACACATTTAATTCTGCACATCAGATTAGGTTGCCTGATACTTTGTGCTAACTAGCTATAGTTGGAATAAAGGAGTTAGGATTCTTAGGGGTTTTTTTAATAAAAAACTAAAACCTATTCATAACCTGGTGGTGTTTGGGGGTCAAACTGTACAGAGCCCAACACAAGGGAGTCCTGGCTCTCAGCCAGGGTTCCCAAGTGCTACAGCAGGAGACAGAGGTCATTATCTGATTCACATCCATAACTGATGGGTTCACTTGAACAGGAGTCACAAATGAGCTCTGATTTTTAACCAGGCCAGTGCTTTACTTGCTGGACTACATTACAGACAGACTGGCAGTGAATTTGGGAGCAAGCAGAACATTGATACTTACAATTTCCATAACCACAAAGAAAAAGCGTGCACTGAGAGCAAATCCTGCAATTCTTAGACAAGACTCCACTCAGATGAGTGCCAGCCTTATCAGAGGGAAAAAAAATGTCAGATTAAAACCCAAGAACTGATCAGAGCCAAGAACATCATTCTGCCACAGTGGCTATAATAAGCTATGAAATACAGTACGAGGAAAAACAAAAAGTCACCTGAACAAAAAACCCAGAGAGACTTCATAGTTATAATGATTCTACCACTTTTAAGAACTCAACATATTAAATATTTATTAAAAATAAACTGTTTCCAAATCACCTATTTACAGTACAAAGAACAGTACTTAAACCATGTGCAACAGAAAGAAAATGGACACTCATCTGAGAGGACAACACTCCAGGCATCATCTGAGCGACACAGGTACAGGATCACCTCTTTAAAATACCATACAGTGAAACCCAGCAGGATGATATTGGCAACACCGGAAAATAAAGCACACACTGTCCAGATTCAGGCTATATAAGCTTGAGATAAACAACCAGGAAAGAAGGGGAGAAGGAGGAAACAAAGACAAAAGGAAGAGAGGTTACGGTGTTTGCATTTTGGAGGTCAAGAAATGCAGACACACATCAAAAAATAGTCCTTGTTGGCAAAATTAGCCATTCTCGTATTTCCTGCACATTTCAAAGTCATACTTTATCAAAAACTGGCAGTGGTTCCATCACTCATAGAAAATGAGAATCTCAACTCTCTGATTTTATTTTCAAATACTGCCTGGTTTTATTTGGGCAAGATATGATATAATAGGAAGGTATGATGTCACTTTTTAAAAATACAACAGCTGCCAAGTTTTAAGGAAAAATGTGCTCTTCTCCCCCATGTAAGTTAAAAAGCAATGCTCATCTAGGAGTTACTTAAATTATAGCAGCATGAAATCTAATGGATCTGCAGCATCTGTGAAGCCACAAAAATCAAGAACTGGCACCTGATCACTGAACCACGGTTCCAAATATCTGGACATGTGATTTTGGCAAGAGGTCAGCGTGGAGTCAGAACATGAGTTAGGATAGCCCTTTCCTCTCCCCTTCCCTTCCCGATCAGACTCATGCAGCCTATCTGTAAACCACGTGGGACAGCTGGGACGATTTGTAGTTCAGCTGGTTGTTCGGCAGGAACCTGTGCAGGTCGCTCTTCCTGCAGCACGGGTCGTAGTAGTAGGCGTTGAGGCAGGAGTCGCACGAGACCTTGGAGCAGAAGGTGCACGTGTTGGCGGCTCCCGAGCGGTTGCAGAAGCCGCAGCGCGAGGTGCCCGAAGGCTTGGGCTTGGAGCCAAACTGAGCAGCCCTGTCCTGGCCCTGAGTCTGTGACGTGTACTGGGATTTCTCCCGCAGAGCCGAGGCGGGAGACAAGCCATCGCTCGGGAGGGCTTTGATGGAGTAGGAGCTCTGTTTCACTGCTGGGTACTCCTGCCTCGAGCCGAACAGGCTGTCACACTTCTGGCAGACAGAAGCGCCACAAGGTATGCCACAGTTCTGGCACTTGGAGGAAGCTGTCTCTTTGGCTAGGTGGGTGCGTTTGTGGTAAACGGGGTTGGCATCGCTTTTTAACAGCCACACGTCAGGCTTAATAGCGTCTTGTCTTTTAAAATTTAACACGCTTCTAGAATCAGGCTCAGTATATAAATCTAAGTCCTCTTGAGCAGAAAAATAGGAGCCGTAAGGGACATTTGTTCTTAGCATGCCATTGTGATGAGAGGAAGTCGGCAGGTATTCATCAGAACAGCCGTGTGGGGAGCTGGACATGGTCAGCAGAGAGGGCGACGGACGGATAATTTCATCTTTGATGTCATCTTCTGCATCGACCAAAATCGGCTCCTTCCTGAGGCTCAGCGAGCTCATCAGAGGCGGTTTCTTACTCTCCCAGTAACTGTCGTACGCATCCACCGACTTGGAAGGCTTGCTGACCTTTGGTTTGTAGTAGTCCTTGGAGGCGCGCTCGCTGGCCGATTTCTGCAGCACCATGCGCGCCATGGACGTGCTCAGCGCCTCCTTGCACTCCAGGCGCCGCCTCATGGCCTCCGCGCAGCCCCGCACGTCCTCGCTGCTGCTCTTGCGCTCCTTCACCACATCCACCTCGGAATAGCCCTTGTCCTTCACCTGCAGGTGGATCTCCAGGAGCTGCTCACACTCCACTTTGGCCAGGAAGAGCTCGAATGAAATCATTTTCACTTGAATGGCGTCGACCTGCTCCTTGAGCTTAAACGTCGTTCCCAGCTCTTGGACGTAGCCCATGTAGCTCAGAATCTGCCTCACGTCATCTTCCGCTAGAGCAGACTTGACATAATAAACAAAGGGTCCAGTGTAGGTCTGAGGGCCGGGGGGAATAAAAGGAAAACTGGGTTACAAATTCAGCGGTGGACTGGATGTTCAGATAATTCAGTGACAGAGACCGTATAATTAAATACAACAATAACGACTCTGAACACATGCAACTGCCTTGGCAAGATGAGCTCCATTTCTGCATCCCTCCTGCTCAGCAGATGGAAATTCCACATGAGGGAAATTCAAAGTAGGAGAGCTTTCATTCAATTTAAAATCCTGATTAGCATAATGTCCTCCCTGGTGATTTAAATCATTCTGCTTTGCACTAACATTAATGCATACTGGACATGAATTTCTGAATTTACAGAAAGCCTGCCATGAAAGGCAAAAAGGTCAGGATTTGGGAACCACCCCATGCAGGGACAAGCTGCAGCTAACAGGAAATCAGAATTACTGCAGAGTGCCTAACTCTAATTCAGCCTTAAATATGCTTGAGGTGCACTCTTCTTTGTGTAGTCACTACACAGTTTCAACTGTCAGTTTTATTTAACTTAATATTGTTTGAAAAACTTCTACTAAAAGATCCCTAAAAGCAGAGACATGGGATTCTGCAAGCTGAAATGCCCTCAGCACCTGGCACACCTGAGGGATGTGCGTAGCCCGGTCCAGCCTGTTCTGAGTGCAGGCAAGAGCAGTCTGCCCATCACAGGCAAAGGATAAAACACAAAACTCAACTGCAGAGAGCTCCCAGTGGGACTGCAGCACCCAAGCCCAGCAGTGACACCCCACTTTTCCCTCTGGGAACCTGCCTTAGGTAGATGCTTTTGAAAGCACCTTAAAATCAAAACATCGGGAACTGAGCACTGACAGGCAGATCAAAGATACTCTGAAAACAACTCTTTTGCAAAAGTTCCTTCACCGTTATCATACAACTTGTGGGAACCTCGGCAAAGCACCCACTTGAACACGTGCCCTGGGTTTAATACCTGTGTCCAGTAACAGCTGTGGCAAGACAAGTCAAACTCTGAGTCAGCTTGAATAAATCCAGCTTGACCATGAAAGCTCTCCAAGCAGAAATAAAACAATGCAGCAGGGGAGGCTGAACAACAACCTTAAATAAGCTCTTCTCCTACTTTATACACACTCTCATTGCAGAAAGTGCTTGTACTTCTGCTCTGGGGACACTCTCACCAGCACAAACGTCACTTATTTTACACAGGAACTTTCCTATGGCTTCTGTTTACCAACTGTATATTTATATTTATATATAATGCTATAAATGGGAAAAAGAGAAGCCTTCAAAGGAAACAAACGAAATGCCTTCACAGAAAGAAAAACAGATCATGTTCTCACTACGGCTACATAAAAAAGTCTTACCTTAATGTTTTTGAACTCCTTTTTCCAGGGGTACAGAAAGAGATTAATTCCAAGTGTCTCAAGCATGTTGAATGCATTACGGAGACAATGTAAACTTGAGGATTTCACAGATCTCAGTGAGTTTTCAGCCATCTCGTAAAATTTTATCAACCGGAATCTATAAAAGGGATCAATTTTGGGAAGGCAAAGTAAGGCTGCTGCTGCCACTCGCAAGTACTCATCGTTAATAGGACGCTGCTTGCTGTCAGAGGCGTTCAGTTTGCACTCGTGGAACTGTACATACTTCCTAAATAAATCGTCTTTGTATTTTGTATCCATTGAAATCAGATTTTCCCTCGCGCTGGGGGCAGCTACCTCCTCTCTTTCATGGTTATTCGGCAGTGGGTTGGGTATCCGGCATTAGGAATCTCCAGCAATGGTAACTGTCCTGGAATAAAAACTGAAAACAAACACAAGTCATCCAGGTGCACAGAGCCCAGACACCCCCTGCAGCTCCCTCACAGCCTCCCCAGGACTCTGAAAAGGCACAGGAGCCACAGGAATGCCACTGTCCTGCTTTCCAACGTCATTCCCCGCTGGTTTTCCAGGTCCCTGCCCACTCTGCTCATTCTGTGAAAGCATCTGCTTTTCCCCCTCGCCCCTTGTGGCACAGGACTGTCCCTAGGCTGAGCAGGTTTATGGACTCTGCCCTTTGATGTCTAACATTTTCACTGACATTCCTCCTGCTGGTACCTCGGAGCTGGGGCAGCTCTGCAGCCACCTCCGGGGGACCCACTCCCGACTGCTGCAAACCACAGCCCAAGTTCCAGCTGAAACCTGGCAGCTGCAAACACCACTGGGATCTTTTGGCAACAAAACTACACCTGCCACCTTCAGCTGGTTATGGGAACCGAGTAAAACCATTGCTGTGCTTCTGCCAGTATGCTTTTGTTTGCAGGGATAGCTGTTTTTACGGATATACTGATCTGCATTTTCAGTGCACTGAGCTCACACACTGAGCTGAAATAGCTGGTGACAAGAGAATCTCCCAAATGCTGCTTTACCAGAACCAAGGTAATTAACAGGCCAACAGACTCCATCTGCAATGCCTCAGGAACTTGTGATCACAAAGCAGACTACATGAAAAGACAAACCAGCTCTCGACCCCAGGGGAGAGGAGTTGGGAGCATTCAGTGCACTGTTTCAGCTGTAGTCCGTGTCAAACAGCACTTCAGAAAAGACTTTCCACCCTGTATCAACTGCAGCTGCTGGAACACCGATCAACACTCGTGTTACAGGAAAATACTTGTTAAGAGCAAGACCAACTGAAGGAAAGGAGCCAAAACACAAAGCACCAACAACCGAGAGGCCAGGGAAACAAACAAACAACAAAATCAACAGCCTGGCAGTTAACATCCCTCGATGAAAGGCTGTCCTCAGTGCCAGCCCCGTGTGGGGAAAGTTAAGTAGCAGTTCTGCTTCTCCTCCAAGGCACACGCACTCCTGTCAAGAGACAGGCTGTGAATCACAGGAAATGTGGAGTGCTAAATTAACATCTGAGCATAAGGGCCAGGAGCAGTGCCTTCCCTCCCCACGTTCCTCTGCAACTTGTGCAGGATGAAGTCTGCGGACAAAGACAGCAGAGCCTGTTCCTTGGCAAGAAGAGCTGCACACAAGAATTGCAGAGAGCTCTTTGTCTAGCACGTCAGCACAACACCCCCAGGACACGGAGCGATCCTGTGCCAGCATTCAGCACCACAGCTCTGCCATCCCTACTGCCAACGCCCACCAAGCAACGCGCCTGGCGACACGTGAGGCATGGCAGGGCCAGCGGGCCCGGTGATGGGAGAGCCCTTCATGGAGCCCTGCGGCTCCCAGAGCCCCTGGCAGCCCTGACTGCGCCCCGTGCCCAGCACCTGAGCCAGGGCACAGCCTGGCAGCCAAGCCAGGGCACAGCGCTGTGCCAGGGCACAGCCTGGCAGATGTGTCAGGGCACAGCGCTGTGCCATGGCACAGCCTGGCAGATGTGCCATGGCACAGCCTGGCAGATGTGTCAGGGCACAGCCTGGCAGATGTGCCACGGCACAGCCTGGCAGATGTGCCACGGCACAGCACTGTGCCAGGGCACAGCCTGGCAGATGTGTCAGGGTACAGCGCTGTGCACGGCACAGCCTGGCAGATGTGTCAGGGTACAGCCTGGCAGATGTGTCAGGGCACAGCCTGGCAGATGTGCCACGGCACAGCCTGGCAGATGTGCCACGGCACAGCGCTGTGCCATGAGAGCTGCTCCGGCACAGAGCCGCAGGCAGCCCGGCCTCTCCCGGTGCCCGCAGCCCACCCAGCAGCAACATCCATGGTGACGGGCTGCGGAGAGCTCGCGATGCGAGCAGCACGGATAAATATAGGTTCAGCAGCTCCCGGCTGCCAGCAGGCAGGAGGAACGCTCCGCTGCCGCAGGTGCTCCGCCGAAGGGCAGCGTCCCCCGGGGTGCGCGAGCAGCGGCCGCTGACCGGAGCGCAGTGCCCGCTGCTGACCGGAGCGCAGTGCCCGCTGCTGACCGGAGCGCAGTGCCGCTGCTGAGGCCCGGAACGTTCCCAACCGTGCCCCGGGCACACCGCCCCGGGAGCCAGCGGCTCTGACCCCGCTGCACCGCCGGTGCCACCGACCCGACAGGCAGCGGGGGCACACGGGGCAAACCCCGCTCGTCCCGCGGTGCGCCCTCCGCCCGGCGCTCCCGGTGCCGCTGCGGGACACGGCACCGCAACCGGCGGCAGCCCGCGCCACCGGGGCCGCTCCGTGCCCGGGACACTTGTTGCAGACCGGGCCGAGGAGCCCCGGGCACCGCCTGGGCCTCCGCGGCGGTACCGGCACCGGGAGCTCCCGCCGCCCCCCGCCGCCCGCCCACCGGGGCCAAGCCCCCGCTCTGCGGCCTGTCCCGCCCCTCACCGCTCCGCTCCGCCGCCGGGAGCCGCCGCCGCTGCGGCGGAAGGGCCCGGGATGTGCCCGGTCCGGACGCGCTGCCCGGCAGAGCCGCGGAGGCCCGGCCGGTGCCGCGGGCGGAGCGCGGCGCGCTCACGGCTCGGGCAGGGCCGCGGCGGCGGCGGCGGCCCGGAACTGAACGGCGGGGCGGGAGCGCTTCCGCCGCGTGATGTCAGCGGGGCGGGGCCCGGGGCCGCGCTCGGCGGCTGCGGGGGGAGAACGGGGGGAGAATAGCGGGGGGAGAATAGCGGCGGCGAGCGGCTGCGGGGCCGTGACACCACCGGCCAGCAGGCCCCGCCCTGCCGGAGCGGGACTGCACCGGCGGGGCTGGGCCTCGCCCGGAGTCAGCGGCCCCGCCCGGGCACGGCGGCCCCGCCCGGGCACGGCGGCCCCGCCCGGTGCGCCCCGCCCGCCGCCGGGCCCGGCCGCGCGTGCGCAGCGCCGCCCCCGCGGAAGATGGCGGCGGGCGGTCCCTCACGGGGCCCCGAGCGGCGGCCGGACCCGCTGTCCCGCCTCACCTGCCCCGTGTGCCTCGAGGTGTTCGACTGCCCGGTGCGCGTCCCCTGCGGACACGTGTGAGCGCCGCCGGGGAGCGGGACCGGGGAGAGGGACCGGGGAGAGGGGGATGCGGGAGGAGCGGCGGGGATGCGGGAGGAGCGGCGGGGATGCGGGAGGAGCCGCGGGGATGCGGGAGGAGCCGCGGGGATGCGGGAGGAACCGCGGGGGATGCGGGAGGAGCGGCGGGGGATGCGGGAGGAGCCGCGGGGATGCGGGAGGAGCCGCGGGGATGCGGGAGGAGCCGCCGGGATGCGGGAGCAGCCGCCGCTCGGGCCCCGCCGCTGCTCCGCGCCCCGGCAGCGGGGCCTGGAGCGGCCTGGAAGGGAGAAAGCGAAAGAAAAGCGGGGCGAAAGGAAACCTGCGTTCTTCTGCTTCCGCTTCCCTGCCGGGACACCGGGCAGCGGCTCCGCACCGCCGCAGGGCAGGCTGAGGCGGGCTGTGCGGGTGAAATCCCTCCCTGGCACGGCTGGGGCTGCCCTGGACCCCTGGCAGTACCCAAGGCCAGGCTGGACGGGGTTTGAAACAGCCTGGGGCAGTGGGAGGTGTCCCTGCTGCCATGGCAGGGCTGGCACTGGGCGGACTTTAAGGTCCCTTCCAGCCCAAACCGTTCCATGATTCTGTCCAGAAGCTGAGGGCACAGAGCACTGTCCAACAATAAACAATTCTGGGTGTGACAGCCTGGGATCCCTCATGCCCAGGAGCCAGCAGCTCCTTTTACCCTTCTTTATCGAGTCTCAAGCCCCTGTTAGTCCTTGGGGCAGAGCTGTGCCAGGGCAGTAGGCACTGCGGCTGCCTCACCACCTCCTCCTTTTCTCCCACCTCAGCTTCTGCACGCCGTGCCTGCAGGAATGTCTGAAGCCCAAAAAGCCAGTCTGCGGGGTGTGCCGCAGCACCCTGTCGCCTGGGAGCAGAGCTCTGGACTTGGAAAAGCAAATTGAAACAACAGAAACCACTTGCAACGGCTGCAATAAAAAAGTATGAAAGCGTTTGGAAATTTAGTACATGAGATGTGTCCCCCTAGGGGAAAATGAACTGCTTCCTCCTCAGCTTTCTGCAAAATCAGGTCAAAGTGTTTGTTCTGATATGTGCTAAAGCTGTTTGATATAGGCAGCATACAGATGTTGACATTCTTTCCACAGTTTTTTGTTGTTACCTCTTCAGGAAATGAATTTCTAATGAAAGATTCTGACTATAAAGTTACAGTGAGATGTTGCTGCTGTGAGCAGGGGTGCATGGTGGCACACCACAGAGAGCAGAGTTACATCTTAACTAATCTGTAATCTCAAACGTTTTCTGCTTGGCCAGCTGAGGTATTTGGAGTTCCTGCTTTACCTCTTGTGCTGAAAGCTGCTGGCTTTACACGTTTGCTGCTTTGTTGAGGAGGTGCTGTGAGCTCACCTGCTGTGCTGTTGTTGCCTGCACAGATGTACCTGTCCAAGATGCGCAGCCACGCAGCCTCCTGCTCCAAGTACCAGAACTACATCATGGAAGGCGTGAAAGCTGTGACTAAGGAGCCCCTCCACAGCACCAGGTAGTGCCTCTGCTCTGCAGTCCTGGCCTTCTCTGGCACAGGAAAGGGTTTGGAAGTAAAAGCAGACTTCACCTCTTTGCTCAGTGTGGCTGCTGATTTTTATGGAGTTAAAAACTGAGCCTTGATCCTGCAGCTGGCTGTGCCCCGGTAAACTCTGCTGCGTCTGCTTGGACATCTCTAGGATCAGGGCATTCTGTAGGTGCAGCTGGTTTCTAAAATACCTTGGTCTCCTGATTGTACTCGCCCACAGAGGAGGGAAGTGGGAATTGGTGACTAGTGGGTGGTGCCCTGCCATTAGAGAAAACTGTGATAAATGGCACTTAGAACATTTGCAGAAAAACTGTAATTCAGTCTAAACACCGAGTTCCCTAAAATACTGTTAGGAGTTTACAAACTGATTGCTAAATTAATTGCATACATAAATTATTGCCTTGAATAATCTGCATTTGTAAATAACCTTTTCTCTCTGACCAGGAACTTCCCGAATCGCTTCACCTTCCCCTGCCCGTACTGCAGCGAGAAGAACTTTGATCAAGAAGGGCTGGTTGAGCACTGCAAAGCTTTGCACAGCATGGATGCAAAACAAGTGGTAATAAAAAGTCTTGGTGCAAGAATTGCAATGAAGTCTGGTCTTAAAGCCCTTTGAAACAGTGAGTTAGAGACTTTTGAATTAAGTAGGTGTAATTTCTGCTGTTCAGTCGGTGTGGCTGTGCTGGTCGTGCCTCTAAGCCTGGTGTGGTTCTGCTCTCACTTTTCAGTGGCTCTCTGCACTGCAGCTGGGCCACATCCTCTTTTCATCCTTGAAAAATGGCACACGTTCAAAGTTAATTAGGCACAGCAAAGCAGTAAAATATAATTTAAAAAATACCAGACATTTAATTTTCTCCTTGTTTTCAGCAAGAAGATACTATTAACTGCTAGGAGAAATACTTGTGATAAATAGTATATCATTCTATCTGTGATACTTCCTTTTATGTAAGAGGAATCGCAAAACGTGGAATTGAATTGGAAACTTTCATTTTTTCTGGGAAGTTTTTTGGAATTCAAGATAATTCAGGAAAATAAAGTTCCTTTTTTTCTCTTGGAGAGAAGTGAACTTTGCAGAGAATACCAAGGAATCTTTCCTGCCATGGTGAAATAAAGGCTGAAATCTTCTAAAGCAAGAGGCTTTAATGAGTTCTGATTTTCAGAACATGGGAGAAGAGTAAGCCATTCCATTTCAGGGATCTAAGACATGAATTAGAATTACTCAGGGTTATCTGAGGCTTTTTCAGTAGATGTCCCAGCAAATTACTGGCCATCACTTTGCATGGAGAGCAGTGACAGCACAGACCCTGAGCTCCACTCCCCCGGGCTGTCCCTCCCTCTGCTGTCAGCGTTTAAGCACTGCAGCACTGGACCTAACTGGCTTTTTCTTTGAAGGTTTGCCCAATTTGTGCCTCAATGCCGTGGGGGGACCCCAATTACAGGAGTGCTAACTTCATGGAGCACCTGCAGAGGCGACATCGCTTTTCCTACGACACCTTTGTGGTAAGTGTTGGCTCCCCCTGGCAGCGCGGCCGGGGCTCCTGGAGCTCCCTGGGCACTGCTGTGCCACCCCAGCACATCCCTGTGCCACCCCAGCACATCCCTGTGCCACCCCAGCACATCCTGTGCCACCCCAGCACGTCCCTGTGCCATCCCAGCACATCCTGTGCCACCCCAGCACGTCCCTGTGCCATCCCAGCACATCCTGTGCCACCCCAGCACATCCCTGTGCCACCCCAGCACATCCCTGTGCCATCCCTGGCGTGCCCCTGCTGCTGCCATGGCACTGCAGCGTGGCTCTGCAGTGAAAGCCTTTCTGCCTCCTGCAGGACTACGATGCTGATGAGGATGATATGATGGCGCAGGTTTTGATGCGCTCTCTGCGGGATAAGTGATCCAGCCAGAAGATTTCCTGCAAACCCAAGCTTCCACGAGGGGGAAATGCCCAGCATCCTTGCACTTCTCCCTGCACATCCCAAGATTAACTCAGGCATCCAGAAGTATAGAAGACTTTAATCCTATCTCAGTTTTAAATCCTGGTTTGATATTTCTGTGCCATTCAATCCTTTGGTATCATGGTCTCTGACATTCAGCCCTGTCAGCCCCATTTTTCTACTTGCTTAGACTCAGTTTCATGTAGATCAACACGTGGGAACCAAGGCTTTACCTTTACCTATGCCTATAGGTTTCTTTGGAAGTTGTGTTTATTTCACTGTCTAAAATCAAAAACATTCCAAATGGAATGGCCTGAACTAGTTAATAAATATCTTCCCAATCTCATTTATCTATCTCAAGTGATTGTATGTGAGGTGTACTGGTAGCTCTGTCCCCTTTAGTGAGACTTCAGGTGCTAACTGTAACTGTCAGACCAGCTCTCATTTAAGTGACCTCTGATACATGTGATTCCATAATGTTTCCCAGTGTTTCAATCCTACAGGCAGCCTCCCAAGTGTATGGAAAACATATCTTCAGTATGAGTGTTCAAACTGCAAACTTTCCTAGGAAATCTTTGCACTGTGTAAAAACTAGTTCAAAATACTTCAGTTCTATGCATGATGATTACTTTCCTCCATATTCTTACTTTAATTTCTAGCCTGGAAAATGATCTTTAGTGTTGGTCTTAGTTAAAATGCATAATTTTAAAACTATCTTAGCAAATATTAATCAAAATTGCTGGCTTTATGATTAAATTGGTGGGTTTGAAACTGGTTTCCTAGTAATTTTAAGCCTTATGCTGATAGGGGAATTCAGAAGGTTTTTTTCAATACCTCGGCTTTCTATATAAACTAAAATTTTCATATGTGTTCTTGGGTTTTCCATCTTTCAAGGCAAGCTGGTGGGAAAACTTGGGAGTAATTCATAGCACTGGCATAGCACTTCCTTTCTGCATCACGGATTTTATCAGGTATTTTGAATTCCTGTTCTTCATTTAAATGTTCCTAAAGTGGCTGAAGCTGTACTTGGATTGTTTGCCATCTGGCAGTGTGTGTGGAGTCAGGTGTAGCTTTCAGGGAAAAGTAAAATATAGCCCTGAAAGCAGGACAGTTCCAGCCCTTAGCCTGAAGATTCCTTAATTTTAATGTGATGCTTTCATGAAGTTCACAGCGGAGCTGCTGAGATCTAAGGCACCTGACCAGAACCTGTACATCGGAGTGTTGGGATGTCCAATGCAAGCGTTGTAATTGGAGCAGAGGGCCTGCACCGCCCCAGAATTGAGTGCTAATTAATTGATTTGAGCAGTAAGCTCCTCCTATCACGCTCTGCAGAAGGCAGGATAGCCTTGCCCTGAAAATAATGAAACTCACTCCAGCTAAAACCTCCTGATTCACCCTTGTGTCCAGCCAGACCTCGGCACCTCTCGCTGCCTGTGGGTTCGTGTTTCTGGCCCGTGGCAGGGGCTGTTACACTCTGATCCCTGAGCCCTGTGGGCACTGCCCAGAGCTGTGGGGCTGGGACGTGGCACCTCCTGGTGCTGAGTTCGGGTGGTTATTGCAGTGCTCGGCCTGCAGAGAGGTGAGGGCTGTGGGGACCGACAGGGATCTCTGGGCTCTGCTCGCGGTGCAGTTTGGTGATGCCCATTGCCAGGAATGCAGGTTCCTGCTTCTGTTCTAAGTGCACTTCCATGCGATTCTGGTGACATGCTTAAGGAGCAATTAGAAGCTTCCAAGCAATTACTTTGTCATGTTTTTGACTTTTGGAGACAAGTTACAAATAAAGGCCATTTAATTTATAAAATCCTACCTTTGTGTCAGCTCTTGTCGTTTCTTCCTCATGGTGCTGGTGTTTCCTTTGAGCGCCTGGAGTGTTTGCGCTGGCCCGGCTGAGACTCCCTGATTGATTTAAGGGCAGGGCTGAGAGGCGCCTGAGTGCTGTGCACGGCCTGCGCTCATCTCCTTTGGGTGGGTGGTGGGAAAAGCCTCGGTGTAGGGCACAGCAGCTTCCAGAGGCAGGACCCTGGGCAGGGAGCGGTGCTCGCGCCTCGTCAGCAGCCGATCCTGCGGCTCATTGTGCGGGTAATGCAATCGGGCCGGCCCGGACCCGGGAAATTCCCCTTGTCTGGCACCAGGAGCCCGCCCGAGGAGCACAATTAGCGCAGAGACACACCATGGCAGGAGGCCGGGCTTGCAGCTGAGCTATTCCATCAAATCTGTCTCCAGACGACGACTGGTCTTAATAGCTCTGATAAATTGCTGTCAGCATTAATTTCCTAATGTGCGGCATTGCTTCATGTGGAATTGCAGCGCCAAATCCCCGTGGTCTCCGTAGGCTGCGGGATGAGATCTTGCTGAAGCGTAAGTGCTGTGTTCCAGGTCTTCGTGTCGCCTGACAGAAAAGAGAACAGCAAATTTTCTGCAAGGCCTTTGCCCAGCTGTACTGGACACTCAATGGTGGGCCCACCTCAGAAACCAACCAGGGCTGTGTGAAGCCATGGAAAAGCAAATGGGGGATGTGTTTGCAGTCCTAAAGCTTTTCTTTGGTTTAAATATACTAAAAATTACAGTGGAGCATTTGCCTGTTTTGGGGGCGGGTTTGTGTTTGTTTCTCTGACACACAGCTTTGTGTTACTGTTGCTTTGGTCTGTGCTTCATTCAATTTTATGGGCAAATGACATGATTTTCTGGGTGGTACAAATGAGGACTGTTGAAACCACTATGCAAACTCACTTTTCCCTCCTTACTCCTTCCCCAAAGCTCCAGAAAATACTCAGCACTTAATAAAAAATAGGTGTCATTGCTACTGGCTTAGATCTCTCTTCTAGCTCTTCTCACATTTATTCTGTCTTTACAGATGCTGGGGTTTAAAAAATAATTCCGTGGGGCTCCTGGGAGCTGCCTGAGCGCCCCGTGCCGTGCGTGGGAGCCGTGGCCGGGCCCACGAGCCCCGGGCGGCGGCGGCGGTCGGTGCCGCGGACGGCAGAGGGAGGTCTTGCATCTCGCAGAGAGCGCGGCTCGCTCCTCCCGGCGCGCTGCGGGGCCTCAGCCCCTCCGCCGGCCTCGGGGGGCTTCAGGGGCTTCTCCAGCCTCGCCGTGAGGGTTCACACCCCGTCCCACGGCCAGAGCTTCTTTTTCCGAGCACAGCCTCCCTTGGCGGGAGGAGCTCTGCTCTGCAGCCAGATATTCAAGATTCTTCGTGGAGACGTGGGGCCAGGGAAGTAAAAATAAGAATTTTTAGCAGACTTGTTGCTCTGGAGGTGGTTGAAGTGTATTCGTGAGCTCCTTGGGCCAGTCCTTGTGCGTCTGGAACTGGAGCTGTGCCATGGCCGGTGGCAGGTCTGCCCCGAGCACCGTGGGGCTCTCTGATGCCCTCTCTGATGGTGAGGGTGGGACAGCCCAGAAACTCACTGCCACTCCAGCCCGTGAAGCGTTGCCGATCCCCTCCCCTGCGTCCTGCTCTGTCCCCTGCCATGCTGGCCCACAGGCACGGGTAGGTCAGGTCTCTGTCTCCCTTGATCTTGTTTTTCCCCTAGCACAGGCAAGTTTCCACGTGCAGTGGTCGGAACAGATCTGATTATTACCATTTCAGAAAGAGCCCAGGCGGCGGCTTTGCTTCTCGAAAGAAAGCCACCTCGCCGTGTTCCCCGCGCGGGTGTCCCCGCTGGAACCACATCCGCGGCAGGTGCAGGAGCGGGGGGCAGCGGCCGGAGGCACCTGCACAGCCCCGGCCCGCCCCGCGGGGAGCGGCACCTCTGCACCCCCAGAGCACGGGGGGACCTGACCTTCGTGATTCGCACCCCCCAAAGCCTCCGGGGGCACTTTTCCCCCTGAACTTCAGGCTGATCCAGGGATGGGGTTTGCAGATAAACACCTGCTGAAAGCCGCGGGCGATTCGGCAGCAAAAGAGGGATGATCCAGTACCAGAGCATGTGGCTGCAGGGGAAGAGTTTGCAAACGCGTCTGGTCTGGGCAGGATGCGCGTGGCTGGCAGGACAGGCTGCTCCTGCCCTGAGGAAAGGCTGACGGAGAGCTCAGTCCCCGCGCTGCAGCCGTGCCAGCGGGAAGCTTCGCTCCCACTTCTGCATTTTGCGTCGCTGTGGCCAAACAGTAAGATGCGGTCAGCAGGGGCTGGCGCGGCGATGTGCGATGTGTGGCGGCTGAGTCACGAGCGGGCAGCACACGGCCCTTTTCCGAGCGGCGGGGCCGGGGAGGCATTCCCAGCAGGACCTGTTCCTCCCGCGGCAGCCGCCAGCAGCTGCCTTGGCCCCGAGCTGAGCGCGGCTCTGCAGCAGGTGCCTGGAGCCGTGCCCTGAGCCCTTCCAGCGGGGAAAGCCCCGGGCGAGCCCGAGGGCCGGGCTGAGCTGGAGCGCAGGCTGCGCCGTCCGACTGCTGCATCTCTGCCCACCGCTGCCCCAGCGCCCGCTAGCCCTGCCTGGGCACCTTCCCGTGGGCACACGGCCCTGCGCAGCGGGAAGACACGAGGAACCGTGTGCCTCAGCGGGGCCCTGTGACCCGCCCTGCCCGTGGAAAAGTCAGGACAGAGGGGACAGAGAGGTTGCTGGGGGCACGGCTGCGCTGCCCAAGACCCCCCCAGCAGAAAAGAAAATGTGTCTGGGCAGGTGCTCCTGAGCCCTGGGAGCGGGAGGGAGTCACCGAGGGCTGTGTGGGATCCATCCCGCTGCTCCAAAAGTCACTGCCTCTTCCCAGAGGACTCTTGAGCCGTGAAGCGTGCTTCACCGCAGGGCTGTGTCCCAGCGGGCACGGCTGAGGCGTGTCCCACCCTGCCCCGTAGCCCACGGCCGTGGGGAGGGCAAGGACAGGCAGCAGGGGTGCGGGGATCACCGCCAGGCACAGCGCCTTCCTCCAGCCCGCACGGCCGCTCTGCCCGCGCTGGGCACGGGCTGTGGGTCACTCCAGGTTCCGCCCCCTCCGGAGCACCGGCCGGACCGCGGGAGCGTGGCCGGGGAAACGCCCGGAGGGAAGCCACGAGCGGCTGATGCGGCGGCGGCGGCGGCAGCAGCCGTGGGAGCGGCCCCCGGGCTCCGTCCCCTCGGCACGGCTCGGCTCGGCTCGGCCCCCGGCGGCGGGGCCGACACCTGCCCGAGCCCGCCCCGTCCCGCCCGGCCCATTGGCCGCGGCCCCGGGGACAGCCCCGCGCCCGCCCCGCGCCCGCCCCCGGCCCCGCGCGGATATCAGCGGCGGCGGCCGCACCGCGACCCGCGGCGGCGGCACCGGGGCTGCAAGATGCCGCGCTCCTTCCTGGTGAAGAAGCACTTCTCGGCCAGCAAAAAGCCCAACTACAGCGAGCTGGAGAGCCAGGCCGGTGCGTGGACAGGGCGTGCGGTGCTCCGTGGGTGGGGCGGGGGCTCCGCTGCGGGATCGCCCTAAAGCTCCACACAGGAGCGGGCAGGGGCTGACCGACCCTTCCAGGGTTGCGGATTTGTTTGTTCGTTTCGGTTTTGTGCGTCTCGTGGCGCGCGATCCCGTGTCCCGGGATGCTGGACGGCTCCCCGGTACCCCGGGGACGTCGGTGGCACCGGTGGCTCCCTCACGGGGCGCACATGGGTGCGTGGGGAGCTTCCTGGGCCGGCAGCGGGCGGGAGCGTGGCGTTCTCTTCGCCCCATCCCTCCCGGCAAGGCGGGCAGGGGCGCGGGGTCCCTGTGGCGCGAGGCCGGTCACCTTTGCCCCGGGGCGGGCTGCGGCTCTGGGCTCCCGCGGGGCGGGCTGGGGTGGGTCCCTTTGCTCGGGGCTGCCGAGGGATGGCCTGGGACGGGGTCCCACCGAGCCCGCGGGGTGGGTCGGGCCCCGCCGCCCCCGTTCCGGGAGCGCCGCGGGCCCCGCTGAGCGCCGCTGCCTCCCGCAGTTCTGGCCGCCCCGCTGCTGTACGAGACGTGCCCGCTGCCCGTCATCCCCCCGCCCGAGGTGCTCGGCCCCGGAGCCTACTACCCTCCGCTGGTGTGGGACGCGGGGCTGCTGTCCAGCCTGTTCCCGGGCGCCGCGGGCAGCGAGGCTGCGGCCGGCGCGGCCCCGGCCCTGGACCTGACGGCGCTCTCCAGCGAGGACGATGAGGGGAAGAGCTCGGGGCCCCCCAGCCCGGCCTCGGCCCCCGCCGCCGCTGAGCGCTTCCGCTGTGCCCAGTGCGCCAAGGCGTACTCCACCTTCGCCGGGCTCTCCAAGCACAAGCAATTGCACTGCGATGCCCAGGCCAGGAAATCCTTCAGCTGCAAGTACTGTGAGAAGGAGTACGTGAGCCTGGGGGCTCTCAAGATGCACATCCGGAGCCACACGCTGCCCTGCGTCTGCAAGATGTGCGGGAAGGCCTTCTCCCGGCCCTGGCTGCTGCAGGGCCACATCCGGACGCACACTGGTAACGTCCCCTCTCGTCCCTCTCCCTCCCTCCCTTAGCGCCTCCCGCTTCCCTGCTCCCCTGCCCCAGCGAATCGGCGGGCCGGCTGTTATCTGGGAAGATAAGGGCTTCCCAGACCCCCTTGGCACATTTCTCTAAAATGTCCTTTAAATATCCTCTCGGCTGGAACGGAGCGCAGGGTCAAGGCCCGGCCTGTAAATCCGTGCTGCTGCTGCGAGCGCAGCGCCTGCCCGGGAGCGGCGGCACATGCCTCCCCAAAATGCCGTGGAGCGGCTGTGAGACCGCTGCAGCCCCTCCCGCGCCCCGCCGTGCCCAGAGCATCCCTCCCTGCCCGCTGCGAGGGCTCCAGCCCGGGCAGAGCCTCCCCGCAGCCGCCCACAGCGCTCGGTCCCCGGGGCGGTGCGGGGCCCCGCTCCCGGTACGGCCGGGCTGGGATGTGCCGGGCCGGGATGAGCCGGGCCGGGACGGGGCTGGCGAGGCCTCGGGCAGGTGCTGTTGGCACCTGTTGGCGCCGGGCCGCAGCTGCAGCCCACCCCGCTGCCGCGGCCGCCCCGACAAAGCATCTCCCGAGCATCCTTTGTGGGGCCGTGGGACGGTGTAATTGTGACTTGGCACTGATTTCACACCCTCTTAACGTACTAAAGATGATGGCTGAAGGAAGCCGAGTAGACTTAATTGTGCTTTCCAAATTGAGCATAGACATTTGTTTCCTCCAAAAGAGCCTTTCTGGGAGGAATTCGCCCTGGCCAGGCTTTTCAATGCGAGCCGGGCAGGAGAAGGGGGAGCGCAGGGCTCGGCAGAGGAAATAGCTGCACTCAGCCTGGGCTGGCGCCTCGCAGCCGCTGCCTGCTATGATATAATTAACACACAGCGCTCGCCTTTCCTGCCGCGCCGCGGGCTCCGCGCTTGGCTCCGCGCAGCAGACGAGTATCGTGTCTTCGGCTGTCTGTGCGACTGCCGTGCTGCTTGCAGATGTTTCCAGCATTACATTTCCGTGCTTCGTAGGAAAGGTTTTTCAGGAGCGTAGGATTCCCGAGCTGGCCGTTCTCCCCCCAAGCGATGCTGTACATACCCGGCTCTCCCCGAACAATAACAGCCAGCACTTCTTTTCACTGTGCTCTGCGCAAACTTTGGCTAATGAATGGCTCCTTCTTTGATATTCCCCATGTGTTGATGCACTGGTTAATTGGGAGCGTTTCTCTTTGTCCCATAGGTGAAAAGCCCTTTTCCTGTACACACTGCAACCGGGCCTTTGCTGACCGCTCTAATCTCCGCGCCCACCTGCAGACCCATTCAGATGTAAAGAAGTACCAGTGCAAAACCTGCTCCCGGACTTTCTCCCGCATGTCGCTGCTCCACAAGCACGAGGAGACGGGCTGCTCTGGCTCTCGCTGAGGACTCCCCACGCATCTCTCACCACAAATACCAATATTGTAACTAGTTTCCGTAGGAGTTAGCTTCCTCCACGCCACTGCAGTGCGCACCGGGCTGGACACTGCTCCTCTGGCCCTTGGGACCCTCACACTCCTCACTTGGTGCCTCCATTGCGATGCAAGAGCCCGATCGTGAAGTTTGCTGGGCTGGAAGGGACCCGCCAGGATCATCGAGTCTAATTCCTGCCCTCGGGATGTTCCAGGACACCCCAAGACCCCCACCGTGTGCCTGCGAGCATTGTCCCAACACTTCCTGAGCTCGGGCGTGGTGCTGTGATCATTTCTCCTGTCCTGGCATGTCTTGGCATGTGGGTGCAGGGTGCACTCTGTGCCCAGCGTGTGAAACTCGGGGGTCGCGGTGCTGCCCAGCCCCGAGGCAGGTGCCCCCTGCCCGAGGCACTCGGCACCTTGCAGGGCTGGACCTGCAGCCTCGCCCCGCGCCGGTATTGAACACTGCGACCATGTAGCTTGGGGGGCTGGGGCTTTTGGGCTGGATTTGTTGGGTCTTTTGTTTTGTTTTGTTGGTTTTTTTTTTTTTTTTTTTAGTAACACCATAACCACTTGGTAGCTTTTAAGAACCAGTATTTTTTTAATGAAGGACAAGACACTCCCCCGGACCCCGAGTGTATATAACCCGCCTGTAGAAGGTGTAACTATGCAATAATACAGTATCCCAGTAGTTGTGAAGCAGCTGCTTCTCCCCAGCACAATGACAATTTGCAATGCCTGCGAGATTAACAGTGTCCATGAAAGGCAGGGGTAGCCATTCCAAACCCCAGCCCTGTTTACAGAGCAGCTATGCACTCAAGCACCTGTTAATATGACTCTTAACAACTGCTTTTCAAGAGAACTGTGACTAATAGCAGGCACTTGTCAGCTGATACAATGGTGGCCTGTCCCAAGGCTGTCCATGACAGGTGTGTGCCAAAAGCCCTATTTATGGGTATTGACAGGTGCCTCCTGAATGCATCTTTCTTTGGACATTGTTTTCATGGAATCATTACAAAGAGGATGTTTACATTTCAAAGGTACACTGGTATTTATATTTTTGTGCCACAATTTTGTACTGATGAAACTTTTTATATAATGATATACAATTTATTGATATTCAATAAAACTGTTAATTTATAATGGGGTTTTGTGGGTGCTCGGGCTGAAAGCGCAGCTGTGAGGGGGGAGCGCTGTGCGGGTGCTGGGCCCGGCTCACCCCACCCGGTGCTCTCGGCCTCTGGCTGCAGGTGACCAGAAAGTGGCATTTGCCCGAGGCAATGTGTGGAGCAGTTGCGCCTGGGGAGAGGAAAAGTCAGTTCCTGCCAGGGCCGGGGCAGCTGTGCTGGGGGTGCAGTGACCTCCCAGGCCCTGTGGAAAGCACAGCAGCTTGCCGTGTCCCCCCCAGCCTGCTCGGGTGGGTGCTGGTGTCCCCACGGAGCTGCTGGAGCGCCCGTGTCCCTGAGCGGCCCTGGGGAGCGGGTCCCTGTCCCTCCGGGCTCTCGGCAGGATTCCGAGCCTCGCCAGGGACCCCCCAGCCGCAGGGAGGGCGACCCGATGTGGGTGGTGCGGCCAGAGGTGACACATGCCATTGTCACCGCACGGGAGGGGCTGTCCCCGCACAGAATGGGCTCTGTCCCCGCACAGGACGGGCTGTCCCGCACAGGACGGGCTGTCCCGCACGGCTGTCCCCGCACAGGAGGAGCTGTCCCGCACGGGAGGAGCTGTCCCGCATGGCTGTCCCAGCACAGGAGGGGCTGTCCCGCACAGGATGGGCTGTCCCCGCACGGCTGTCCCGCACAGGACGGGCTGTCCCACGCCCCGGGGCACCAGGGGCCCGGCGCTGCGGGACTCCGGGCTCTGTCCCCAGGATTTGGGAAGCCCCAGCGCCCCAAAGCACCTGCCCCGCACCTCCCCGGCCTCCCAAACGCTGCAGGGGCTGCGGCCGGGCTCCCTGCCCGCCTCCCGGGGCCGGGCTCTGTCCCCTGTCCCGGCCGCCTTTCCTCTCCCAGTGCCGCCTCCCGGGCATTGCTTCCAGCCGGGCAGCGAAGGGAGGGACAGCAGTGTCCCCCCCGAGCTCCGGTCCCGCTGCAGCCGCGGGTCCCTCCCGCACCGCTCCCCGGCTCTTCGGGGCAGGAAGATGTGTGTGGCTGTAAAATTCAGCAGAGCTGCTGCTCGGCCCTTCTTTAATTAAGAGCTCACCCGGTATAAACTGACTTTCCCAGCCGAGTTGGACTCATTACTCGATTATTAAGCAGGGCAGGAAGTTTTGGGTTTGCTCTTGTGTGTGCTTTTCTTCCTTTTCCCAACAGGAAGCGGGGGAGGGGCACTAATTACTTTCAGCTTTCCATCCATAAAACCCTGGAGCCGCAAAAGCAGCTAAACAGTTAAAAAAAAAAAAAAAAAAAAAAAAAAAAAAAAAAAAAAGGAAAATAGAGACCAATTTTGGGAAGGGACCACCTGCAGGAGCTGGGAAGGAGGGCCGAGCAGTGGGTGCGCGGGGAGCAGCAGCCCCGCAGCCCCGGATTTGGGATTTGCGGCTCTGACAGCCGCCCCAGGGCCCCGCGCCGGCCTTGCCGGTCCCCGCCCCGCTGTGCCCGGGACCCCGGGACCCCGGGACCCCGACCCTCTCGGTGCCCTTCGGGCTCTCGCTCCATCCCGCACTGGCACCCAGCGGGGACACTGCCAGCTCCCTCTCAATGGGCGCCAGCTAATACTGGTCAGGCGGGCGGTGAGAGCTGTGGGACACCTCCCTCCCCTCAGCGAGCCCTGCTGCTCTCTGTCGCGGTCCTGGCTTTGTCCCCTGGCACGGGGACGCCAGGCTTTCAGAGGGAAGGTATCAACCGGGTGGAGAGCGGCCCCGGCTCCACTGACAAATCCCGCTGGCATTCAAACACAAATGCAGCCTTAAAACTCTGGCAAAAAGAAATGCTGCCTGCTCTGAATCACAAAAGCACAGCCCACCGGCACTTGGGTTGCTGCTGCATCTGCTTCGTGCCCTGCCCAGTGCCCTGTGCCCCGGGGACACGGCTCTGCTCTCAGGTGCTGGCCCGTCCCTTGGGCCAGTGCCTCAAGCCTCCCCAGGGTCACCCAGGTCTGCTCACAGGGTGGTGAATGTGGTTCAGATCGCTCCTTTTCTGACCAGCTGCTCAATTTACTACTGCAAAAGTATTTCTGTTTCTCTACCTGAGATGTGTTGGGGTGAGCAGAGGCTCAAGGACCGTGGCCAGGACACCTTTGGGTCCAGCTCAAGCCAGCGCCACACATGGGTCACCCGTCTGGCCTTCCTCTGCCCCTGCAGAGCTTTGGGGCTCTGTGACGGAGAAACCCACCCGGAGCTGGGCCTGAGGATGCGTGGCAAGTTCCTTTTCATGTCATTTTCTGCAGGAAAGCCGCAGAGCAGCAGCCCTGGCAGCAGCGCCCTGCCTTGGTCCCTGCGCCCACAGGGGTGACCAGCGCTGCTCAGCAGAGCCTGGGGGCCGAGAGCTCGGCAATTCCCCCTCAGTTCAATGCCCCGGGAGCCAAAGCCCCGGTGAGCCCGGCCAGGCAGCGCGGGCTGGGAGCGGACTGGGAATGGGCTGGGAGCGGGATGGGAGCGGGCTGGGAGCGGGATGGGAGCGGGATGGGAGCGGGCTGGGAGCGGGGGCGGCCGGCGCGGAGCGGAGCACAGGAACCATTTGGTGGCCACCTCGTGGGACCATCTGTAACAGATTACGGTGTCAGGCTCGGAAAGGCGGGATTCAATCAGGCGCCCGGCAGGTAGCAGGGGCCCTGCTGGCTGGGCCTGGCCGGGGTACGGGTGGTGCCGCGGTCTGAACCGGGCTGCGGCTCCCCACGGCACCTCCAAACCGGCACGCACGGCCCCTCAGCTCCTGGAGCCCTTTCAAAGGCTCCAGGGAAACCACAAAGCGCCTTTTCTTCCCCGAGAGGACTCGTGTTCCCCCCTCCCTGAACCGATGGAGAATTAAAGGTGTTTGGAAGCCCACCCTGCTGTGGGAGCCCCCTGCGGCAGAGCCATGTGGAGACACCGGGTTGAAAAGGGCTTCAAGGCTTCCATGCTACCGTTTGAACTGCCCCGTCCTGTCTCTGCAAGCATCTGGAGCATCCCAGAGGCGATGAGAAGGACAGCAGGAGGATTATACCCATCCAAGGAAAGACTAAGCTTCATCTCCTCAGTCATTTGGGGCTGCAGTACCCAAAATTTCCTTTTTCACCCTTTCTGTCCCCATCTCTCCAAGGACAGGCATGAGGCACACCTGGTCCTTGTGCTGTGAGGGTGAAGAGGAGCTCTGGGACCCCCAGAATGCCTCCTCCCACCTCCAGAGCAGTAGAAAGTAAAAATTTTCCACTTTCTCCTCGTGTGACTGCAGACCTATCTGATAGGGATGTTCCCACGATTCTGTGATCTCCTGCATCCCCCGCAGCCTCTGCAGGAGCACTTCCAGCATCTGAGTGTGCAGCCCCCAGAGAAGGCAGCAGAGCCCAGCCCTTCCAAAGCAGAGCAGCCTAATCCTTCTTTTGGCTCTTTCCTTAGCCAGCAAAAGCTGAACAAGCTCACGGGAGCGGCAGGACCCGGGAAAGGCTCGTTCCTGAGGCAAGGCTGGGCAGCCGCTCCTGATTTGGGGCAGGGGGCGGCCGGAGCTCCGTGGCAGGAGCTGGGAGGGCTGTGGGGTGGGCAGCAGGGCCAGCGTGGGCTTCCCCGTGCCAAGGCTGGGGTGCAGGGGGCCTGGGGAGCTGGGGAGGCTCTCCCTGCCCCGACAGGGGCGGCAGGTGCCGGTGCAGGGCCCAGCCTGTCAGCAGCGGGGCTCACAAACAAACTGCAGGTGTAGCTATTGTTTTCCTGCCTGTGGGCTATTGACATCAGCAATAATCTCAAATTAATCTTTAATCGATGGTGAACTGAGAGCGTGGGGCTGGGGAGGCGTGAACCTTCCATGCAGACAGAGCACAGCGAGGGCAGAAGGAAAGGGCCGGGCAGCCCGGGGAGGCTGGAGGACTGAAACAAAGGTGATGTCTCCTGTGGGTGCAGCTGGTCTGGGAGGCAGCACCGCCGTGGTCTTGCACTGTCTGCACTCACCTTTCCTGGTGATGCCCCTGGCCACTCCCAGAGCAGGGCCAGGGGCACAGGGGTGCTGCCCACCTCACCACGGGGCTGCAGCGGCCCCAGCAGGCACAGGCCGCCTGCCATAGAGCTGGTGTGGTTAATTCCTTCACCTGGGGGTGGGCACGGGCACAAGGGCCGGCAGCACATGCACAGCAGTGTCCTCGCCGCAGTCAGAGGTGCCAGAGCAGCCTGTGCCCGCTCTACAATAGCCACGTGTGCTGTAACTCATTGGAGATCTGCCTGGAAAATCATCAGAAAGCATTTTAAATCTAGCATAATATACATACATGTGGATCACCTCCTGTTTGACTGGGCTCCCTGAAAGCAATGCGAGGCCTGTTTTGCTTTTCCCAGGAAAAGGCTCACGTTTCACATGGAGGAGATTGGCGGCTCCCGAGCTAATTAGTCCGGGTTTCCCTCCACCTCCGCATTTTCCACGCAGGGTTATGCCGGCGACACTTTGTCTGTGGCTGCTCGGGGAGGACGGGGCTGCACTCTGAGGCTGCTCTGCGAGATGTGCCGGGGGCAGAGCGGGCAGGGCGAGGAAGCGGCGGTGTGCTGTGGCACGGAGTCACGGCAGTATAAAGAGCTTCAAGGGCCTGCATTATGTCATTACTCAATTAGCCTGGTGGTAATAGCACTTCATTAGAGAGACAGCTCCTATTCACTGCCCTTAATCCACTTTCTGCAGCCAGAGCTAGAGCCATGGATCGCTTTTCCCGCTCTCCTGATGAGGCAGAAGGTGGTTTTGGAGAGTGGGGGAGTGACCCTGCCGTGGTTTTGGAGAGTGGGGGAGTGACCCTGCCGTGGTTTTGGAGAGTGGGGGAGTGACCCTGCCGTGGTTTTGGAGAGTGGGGGCAGTGACCCTGCCGCTGTGGCCAGGGAGCCTCCGGCCTCTCAGAGACAGGGGTGGCAGCAGGCAACCCTGGCAGCTCGGGGATGGCAGGGTGGGCAGAGCACCTGCCCTCTCACAAGCCAGCCTGTGAATCGGGGAACACGGGAGTTTTGGCATCAAGCCATCGGCGGCCGCAGGACACGC